CTTGTACTTAAATAGGTTGTACATTGCTCATATTTAATGTATTTAAATATTAATTAACATTAAGGCCAACAATAATTTGTTTCTGTATGCTGTGAGATAGCCACATTTAATTTTTGTGCCTGAAAGCAAGAAATACTATCACGTAACGCCTTGAACTTTATGGAGAAGAGGATAATATGTATGTACTCTATTTTTAGGTAGACTACTAGAACAGTCAAATTCATAAAATGTAAATAAAGTTCTTTAACAGGCATGCCATAAGAAATAAATGGCATGGGCCTAATGGGCAAAATACAGAGTAACCAAATAGTATTCTCTGTCAGTAGAGCAGAGAGAAGATTACATCATTGTTTATAGTCCACTTTCTATAAATTAAACAACGCAAAAACAACTGGGATGTTCTTGAAGTAATCAGATAGATGTAGATTATGCTTAAGTTTAGTATAGGAGATTCAGAAAAATAAATATAATGCTTTATTTTAATGATGAGTTTTATATTGCTTATATAACAACTAAATAGGTTTGACCTTTGTTACAAAAAGGATTTATTTTTCAAGAATTGTGAGTTGTTCATTAAGCAATATTAAATATTTCTAGATATTTCTTATGTGCTTTATGAAATGTTTGAGCATTGTCTGTTTAGATCGATACTAAAGGCAAAGCTTTGAGATAACTGGGGCTTATATTGGAAAGGTCCTAGTGATCAAGTCAAATATGAAATCTTTTCAAGAACATGCAGCTAAAAAGCAAGGAGAGAGTAATTCTGTAACTCTGTGCAAGCGAAATCTGATACTGTGGTAACAGATACCAAAGGAGGACTTTCTCTGACCCTCCATTTGCAGTGAGAAAGAAAATAGTAGGTGTGAAGGGCAAGCTATTACCTTTGCAGGATCTTTAGTTTGGCAGATAATTGTCTAGGTACAGTTAACACTGCTTTTTGACAGTGGGATGACCTCTCTAAGGTGCTCCTGTCTCTCTTTTCTGTGCATTTATAAAACCTTAAGGAGAAAGAAAGTTTGTTACAGAGCAATACGTTTGCTTATGTGGTCCGCTCCAGCTTCACTCTTATCACAACCTTCAAGATGTTGTAGTCCTGGAATATCTTTGTGGTCAAACATTGTTTTACTAATGTGGAGGGAATACAGTGTTTAACTAGAATGTTAACAGATATGTCTAGGCCACGTAAAAATTGCAATTTAGTGAAGGATGAAATATTTTTTTCATTGAAGTTTTCATTAATTTTCTTGAGCCATTGCTGAGATGGAAGGACACTATCTTTGTGTCTGAGTAGTAATGATTAGAACCAATGTAAAAGACTAGCCCTTGTCTGAGACTGTGTCCTTCTATTTTACTTCTTGGGTAAGGATTAAGTAAGGGCAGACAATATTCAAGTTCAATACCTAACATATTAATTTTTTAGCAAACAAGAGTACATGGAATCTGAATTAGTAGCATGAATGCAATCTGTGATCTACAGCTTAAGCATAACTTTAAATGTGCTGAATATTGCTCTTAATGTTTTCATTTAGATCACATCTTCAAGTAATTTTGATACGTAGACTGGAATACAATGACAGGTATATAAAAATGCCAGGACCGCAAAATTTCTATATGAATTGTCTTGAGTCAAGGAAGTTTTCTATGGCCCATATTCTTTGTATAATTGTTCTCTTCTATTGATTGTGTGTGGCTTTATGACTCAGCTTTGTACTTTAAACTGTATATATGTTTTCAGTGTCTGTGTCAAGTTTATGGGGTTTCAAACTGATTTTAAAAAAATTATGTAGGACATTATACTTTTTCTTACATGTAATTAATCCTCCTGCTCTTGTTTTGGGAGCATAGTGAGACCATGGCTCCATGTTGTTACAATTACTTCAGGAAAGCTTGTTCTAGACATATTCTTCCTTGCTCATGGTTGCTTGTTCCCTCACTTCTGCTTACTTGGTGTCTTGATAGAACAGTTTGCCAAACCACAGGTTATACCAATTCAGTAAAATGACTGCTTAAAAGCTGAAGACTTTTTGAGGCATTTTTCTTAAGCCCTGCTGATCTCAATAATCTAGTTTAAAGCTGTTCTCAGGGCTGTGGTCTGTCAGGAGCACAGCACGTGGGCTAGCAGAGGACTTAAGGGGAAAGGACCTTTCAAAGCCATTCTGCATTTGGAAAAACTAATGAATCACAGCTTTGAGAGTCTGAAGCATTGGGCCTTTAGCCATGCGATAATGCCCATTTGCTCTCTAGGTTTGAAGTGGGGATTACCTACCATGGTTATAGAGAAATGTGAAGAGAAGTTATTTGTTTGGGCCACGCTTGCCACAGAGAGAGGTAGAAAACCTAAAAAATCTAGTTGGAGATTCATTTTGTGGTACTTCTGATTTGTCCATCTACCTGTTGACTCATAAGACCTGCTGGTGTCTTACAAATAGTGTAGTAGGTCTTTCCCGTTCATTCTTAAAATGGATAATGTGCAGCAAAATCCAAAGCATCTGCCTCTCTTTGTCTTATGTTTGAAAACGAAGAATGCTTATTTATTAGTACCTTTCTGAGCTTGTGATATATACTATTTAAGTTGGATTTCTTAGATTCTGAGATGCTATAGTCATCAAAATAGTAATTCTCTGGTGTGATGGCTTTTCTACTGCCTGGGAAGTAAATTAAGCTATTTTGTGTGATTAATTGGGGGACCTTGTAGTTGTTGCTACATGATGGTTTAGTCAAAAAACAACAACAACAAAACCAAACAAACAAAAAGCCCCAAAACATTTTATTTTGTTACATTAAAACATGAATTATAAATTCTTAGAAAGCAAATAAACTGTATGTAATATCAACCTTCTCAGTTATATGATTGTGTTGTTAATGTTTCCTGTCTTTTGTTTCCCTGCAGTGTAAAACAATTGCAGTCTTAAAGTGTTAAATTGTATATATTGTTCAACTGTCCTATTCGGGCATAAGTCAGAGCTTCTATGTGTTACACATCTAGTAAAATCTGCATACAGTTGTCTGTAGGATTGCTGTCCTTCCTTAAAAGTGAATAGCTTTCTCTTTTGGTTTTGGGAGCAAGCTAGACCATCCGGCTTTGTCCAAAGCAAATATCCTGAGATTTTATTTTACCATTTCAGCCTGTGATCTATTCAGTAGTTTGTCTGCATTTCTTTCTGTTTTTCTGCATTTCTACTGTTGTTTAGAAAATTAGAGAAATGCTTAACACTTCTTTTTTCTTTTTGCTAATGGAGGTTTTATCAATTGTTATTTCAAAGAAGTGCCAGTATTTTTTCACTTTGAGCAAGTCTTGTGTATTACTGCTGAACTGGTAACTCAAGACTGTCCTGAAAAATTCAGAAATACTTTAAAAAGTTTCATGGTTTGGTATAAAGAGAACTAAGATAAATTTCTTCTAACTGCAGTTTTACAAATCTTTTCTTACCAATCTGTCACCTAACTGGTATTTTTCAAATGTAACTTAGTTTCACAGCCAGCGTGGTAGAGGTTTTTGTAGGATAACGGTCTTTTGGCAATTTTCTGGAGACTTACATTAATTTTTTTAGAAGAGAGGGATTTGACTCTTGCAAATGTTTCTGTTGTGGAAGTGTCACTGTCATGTAAATGGTTTTCTGATAAGTCTTCATTCCTTCAACAAGTTTAATAGAAAGATTGCAAATTTCCTTGTCCATTTTAATACAAGTAGATAAAAAATATTTTGAAATAGTGTTAGATTTTTTTTCATTGGGCTTTTTTGTTGTCATCCTGTCCTTCTCCAAAAAAATGTTTTCAACTGAAGTGAAGGAGAAGAGTAGAGGGTAGAAATGCAGGAATATTCTTGCATGTTGGAAAAGTAATATTTAAGTCTTTGTTATAGGAGGGGGTGGTGTGTATAAGCTCTAGAGGCTTAGAAGGAATTTTGAGTATGCAAATGTGTATTTTTTGATTTAGCTGAAAGTTTAACTTGTATACGTCTATATTTGATCTATGAGAAGGTACTGAGATGTTAATTAGTCTGTATATATTGACCATAAACGTGGTCAGATATTGTAAGATGTTGCCCAGAAGTGTTGTGGTATGTCCATCCTTCAGATGGAGCTTGGTTAAAGGGTCCCTGAGCAACCTGATCTAATCAGAGCTGCTTTTAGCAGTGTTTGGCGTAATGAACTTCAGAGGTGTCTTCTAAGATAAATATTCTATGCTTTTGGTAGTTCAAAAGGGTGATCTATAACATGGAGTATACACCTGTTAAATTCAGAGCTTAATGGAAACAAAAATGCTTAATTGTAGAGTTAGTGTTTGCCTATGCTGCAATGTAAATTGTTTGTAAACAGCAACAAAAAAGCCCCTCTCCCATCCAATTTCAAGTTTAAATACAAAAAGTCTTACGAACCTTAAACAAGAATGAACACACCTTATGCTGATGAGTACAGGGTAAATGTTCATTCTTTTGTCTGTGAAATGCCACTGTTAAGAAAAAAAATCAAGGCTATTTCTCTCAAACCTGTTGCTTTTTTTCTTTGCAAGGGTCACTACTAAACCGTATACTTCCTCTCCTACTAGGGAAGGATCCACTTTTTTAAAATCAATTTTGCATAAAGTTAGGACTGGAGTAATGGTATGTTACCTTCCTCACCGATGGGAAGAAGGAGTAATGGTGGTGGTATTCTTCAGGGAAATAAGCAATCCCTCTTGCTGAGATTACAGGCCTATCAGGCTAGGAATGTCATTTGTTCTTCACTGTTTTATTGAAGGAATATCATGTGGGTTTTTTGTATGTTAGATGTTTTGTAACTGTTTTTTGAAGAGGGAATACCTACTGTTAGAAGTGTGAGCTCTCAGCCACAGCAACATGGGTTGCCTGTTGAAGTCATCACAGAAGGTAGATCGCATTGACCAAATCCCCATAGTGTCATGCTTGTAAATTTTCTAAATGCTTTCAAGTGATTTATAGTGTATAGTAATAATTGTGTTTATTCATTTACGTAGGTAATGGAGAGTTTCTCCAGGTTTTGCCAAGCTATGGCTTACAGACAACTACTTTGACAACTAAAACTGATGGCAGTGATGGCAAGGCTGAGCACCTAGAGTATGTTGCTTTTGCATTGGTTCCCGTTTTCTTCATCATGGGTCTCTTGGGGATCCTCATCTGTCATATCCTTAAGAAAAAAGGATATCGTTGTACAACAGAGGCTGAAGAAGTAGAAGAAGAAAAAATTGATGAAAAAATAGGTAATCAGCAAGTCTAATAAACAACTCTTACTTAATATGTTACTATGGAATAATGTATTGTGACTTTTCTGTAATTTCTCTATATTAGACATCAAAACAATATTAAGAAAAATATTTTTATTACCATTATATGTCTGTTTTGGTTTTGACTAACCAAGAGTCTTCCAATATCCCATGCAAGTCCTCTAACATTAAGAGCTTACAGAAGGATCAAAGTATCCCTAATATTTGCTTGCAACTATGTACTGCAATTGGAGTCATCAGATTGTTTTTCTGTATTCTACTTGCTGTTAGCAACGAAGTATTAGTATACAGAATTCTACTTGAGGAGTGTCAAAAAGCTGCTGTTTAAAGCCTAAAATCTGAGTTTTATGGTTAGCAATGTTAATTTGTTTCTGTTGTGCTGTCATTCTCATCTCCTCTCTCATCATGAAACTGAACCTTTGGACTTTGTGTCTACATTCAGTTTTATGTAACATATGCTGCTTATATGTTTTTTTTCTTAGAGATACTTTTTGTTTGTGTTCTAATGTTTGTTTGTTTGCGCTCTTGTTTTTATGGTTCCTTATTCCTATCTTCTCTTACTTTTAAAAAAAGAACACAACAAAAAAAACCCAGACAAGAAAAGAGTGTTATAATTTGGGAAGGGCCACAGTAACCCAGTGTAGCATTTGGTTTAGTAAATTCGAGGGCCAAGTCACTTGTAAGTACTTTGGGCCTCTTGCTTTCTCCCAGTTAATTGCTGTCAGTAGGTTGATAATAAGTGCAGATTACAGTGGTTCTGTGGTAAGGGTAAAGCTATGTGGTACAGTAATGGTGTGTCAGTGTGTTCCTCAGCAGTGACAGCCCGGGGCATGGCCGCGGTGAGTGGGACTATCTGAGCTGTTAGTTCACCTGGGCGGTAACAGCAAGGTGAGCGGTGATGAAAGGGGGACAACTTTCAGGTCTCAGTTTCAGGAAGTAGCTGTGTCTAAGCTGCCTTGCGGAGTTGCGGCGATGAGTACAAAGATGAAGGATGGGTAAAGAGATAGGGAAGTGCCTGACTGACTACTTAGAGACAAATTTTGGGCCTCGCCTATCAAATGTGCCTCAATCCTGTGATTTTATGTATTTATTTTTAAACCTAGTCATAATAACTATTAGGGAATGGCAGAGCTGTGCCTTTTAATTGTTCCGTTTCTCTCCCCAATCTTTCTCTGCCTTCTGAGGTTTTTCTGGGGGAGCTTCCAGTGTTGTTAATGGGTGTAATTGATTCCAAAAGTATAGTCATGAGGTTTCTTTCTCAAATACCTTGCTTCTGTAGTCACATGAGAATTTTTCTTTATTTAAAAAAATCAAATTTTGTTCTTGTGGTGAAAAGCTTACATTGAATCCCTCTTATATGAGAAGCCGATAATACCTATTTTAAAGTAGTGATTTGAGACAGTTTAATGATTTTTTTTGTCTTGTTTTTCCTTCTTATGGTTAGGATTGGAAATACTGCTCTCTTGTCTCCTTATGAGCTAGAGAAGGAACTTTGATGTATGCTTGAGTTTATTCAAGTCTTACATGAATATGTTAGAGCCCATGTGTAGATTCCATAAACTTGAGTCCTTATGCAGTAAAAAACATAAACACAAAAGTCTCATCTAAGCTTTGTCTCCAAAGTAACAATCGATCCTGTCTTTTTTTTTTAATTTGACTTTTTCTCGTTTGTGTTTGCTTTTTGTTTTGGCTTGGGGTTTTTCTGTTGTTTTTACTTTGTTTTAAAATAAATTAATTCTTGATTTGGAAGGCCAAGATACTGACAACGTATTTATTTCCTTGCACAGAAATGAATGAAACTATACATGAGAATAGCGACACTGTTGGACAAATTGTTAACTACATTATGAAAAATGAAGGTATAGTATTATGATACTGAAGTTATGAGCCTTTGTGGTGGTGTTCTATGATACCATACTTCAGAATATCTGAAAAAACATTTATGTTCTTGTGTTTTCATTTAATAACCATTTTGTACTGCTTAACTCTGAGATTTGCCTTCAGAAGGCAGTAACTTCAAACAAGATAGGAAAGTGTTTAGTTTACCTGAAAATTAGTTCGTATGGTAAGTTGGGTTCATGCAGTTCTTGATATTTTAACTGTTTTGTTGGTTGATTTTTTTTTTTGGTTCATCTTTTTGTTTGTTTGTGAAGTAAAAGCTGAAGATTGTTTTCTTAATGTCAATGTTTAAAGCATGTGAAATTTTTACGTTTTCACCAGATGAAACTTTTTGTCTTACCCATTCGTGGAGCTGTTGTCTGATGAAAGGTTTGTGCATAACTGAGCCAATAGGGTAGTGCTAATGTTGAATTTTGGACATGGTATCTTCATGTGCTGTATGCAAAGTAAAGGATAAAGAAGATACGACTGAAAAAATAAAATCACACTTAAGCAGCCCATGGAATGCTTGGTTGGTTCAGAACATATTCACCCAGTAGAAGAAACATTTAGGAGACTGTATGTCTTTATAGTACAAAAACCCTTAGCCTTTTCAGTTTATATTTTTATGAATCGAAGTTCTCCTAAGCATTGAACTTACTTTGAGTTACTTCTGAATGAAGACTGGTCCTCTGGAAAAGCTGTATTTTTGGGTTGGGTTTGTTAGTTTTCTGTGTGTTTTTTTCTTTAATAACTGTTAGGGCTTTGAGCTTGAGTATTTTTCCTTGAGGTTGGGATTAGGTACCCCATGTGTTTTTTAGAATATGTGAGCAACTGGTAGTTCCTGCCTGATAATTAATTTGCATTTTGTAAGACTCACTTAGACTGATGTTTTTGATCTTAGGTTGCTCAAACGGATGTTTTAAAATTTTTGGATATCTTCTTTGGGACTGTTGTGCAGATGGCTACATTATATGACTTGTATTGGGGCAAAGCTTTGAGGGCAACATGAACTGAAATTTTAGTATCTCACGTTAAGAAAATCCCATAGAACTATACTGACATTTTTTCCCCTAATATTCTCGCATGCCTTTTTGGAGATCTACTTAATGCAGTCATCTTTCTTTTAGATGAAATTTCTTTGAGGACCTTTAATTTTGCTGCTTGCTTTTTTCTAAAGTTAGAGCTGTACAGTTTTGAAGAATTCTATTTATTCTCATTGCAGCAAATGCTGATGTGTTACAGGCCATGGTAGCAGACAGCAATGTCTTTGAACCTGAAAGGTAATTACTCATCTTTTTAATGCATGTTTCCTGAGGCAACTAAAAAGGTACCCTTTCAAAGGGTTTTATTTCCTGAGATATCAGCTAAGAGGATAATACTTTGATTTCCTTGTGATGTCTCTGAGTCACTAAATTTTAATGTATGCCCTGGGTTAGTAACTGGCTCTTTTGGTTATGTGTTCTAGGTGTGTAACGCAGATTTACTGCTTTTTCGGCTAAGGATTTACAGAGACTGCAAGGACTTGTTTACTTTAGGGTGAAGTTACTTACAAGTTGGCTTAGTCCAAAGCTACTCTGACTTGAAAGAACAGAAGCAGCACTTGTTTCATTTGTGTGGATGCTAACTTAAAATAGACATCTCTTTGTCTCCTTCTGGTTTACCTTTTTCTTTATAACTGTGGTAATAATATACATTGGCTGACCTACTTTTTTTTACTACACACCGATTTAGAGAATTATGTAGAGAAAGTAATTCAGCCCTTGAGCTGCAGATGCATCTTTTGTGTAAAAGTACTTATATCTGTACGTAAGTACATTTAAACTATATCTTTACTGCTCTAAATACTCTTCATATGTAATCCTGTGTTCATATTCAAGGCAGAGAAGATGAAGGTTCAAGTAGTATTGTGTCACTAATAGAAGAAGTGGGAATGTATAGTTTTAGCGAAACAAATAGTTGAATATGCAACAGCTTATCTCCCGTTTTAATGGTGAGAGGCTTGGTTATTGAACTCCTTTTGTAAGTTCAGTTTTTCTTAAGTAGAGGAATTATTTTTAAACTTTTATGGTGCAGCAGAAATACTTGTTTGAATTTTAACTCAAGCTTTTTGTGTAGGGATGTGTGATGTTATTTTGGGAGTTTTTGACTATTGTTTCAGTGGTGAATTAAAATACAAAAAGGGGAAGAGAGAAATGATGTTTGCTCTTATATAATTTCTGACAGATACTCCTAAAGCTTTAACTCAAGTGCATATCCACTATATTTCTTTGTAAGTTCGGTGCACTATGAAATGCTTCCTAGTGATAGGAATAGTAAGGCTAAGTAAAATCTATACTTCTGCCACTTAAAGCTATCATCAGTTCCTGTCTTTGTTTCAGCTGTTGAACAGATTTTATTTCCCTTCTAGCATTCTTTTCTTTATTTGAAAACCATTAATGTCTCCTGTCAATATTTTTGTTTTGAAAAGAAGCATCCAAGTAACTCCAGTCTTCTACGGCATGTTTTATTTCTTTAATTTGTTCTTCCTGTTCTCCTTTGGAGTCTCTTCAGTTTGTTAGTATTTTTCTTGAAATAACATTTCTAAACCTGGATGGAATGTTCAGCTGAGACATGATTAATGCTGAGTAATGTAACTTTAGGTTCACAGGTTATACTCCTGTTATTTCCATTGTGAAATTTGTCCTTTTTAAGCAACAACATGGTGATACTCATGTTCAACTTGTGATCTTCACCTTCTTTTTCTGAAGAATGATCATCTGGCTCCTTGCATTTTAATCTGGGTTTGCAAAGCTTTTCTGCTAAAGCACTGAAATTTGTGTTGTCCTTACTGCAATACATCCAGTATTTTTAATTGCATTTATATATGAGTGAATGTCTTTCACACATGTGCTCTTCTCTGATCATCCTGGTTTCTCATCTTGTCAGCTACAGTTACTATGGGTCACCCAAAGTTTATGGGTACTTTAGCTATTCTCTTCCGTTACCCAAGGAACTATTTAAAACGCTTAATATTCTCAGGATCAGGATAACGACATTTAGTATGTCTTTCCTGTTTCACAGTAAGCTACTGATACATAACTTTCTGGTATGTCTTTTTTTCTAACAAGGTGTGCTACCTCACACTATGGTAATTGCACCTTTAATGCCCAGTGCTCTAGCTTGCTTTAGGAGAATGTGTTGTAATACAGTGTCAAAATTGATGCTGAAGTACAAAAAAGTGTATCTTCTGCTTTCTATCTATGATGTCTGCTTTTTGTTTTAGCATAAAATTAGATTGATTGGTTTAGATATTCTCAGTAAATGCCTTTTGGTGGTGGTATGGCTTTTTCTTTCTTTCTAGGTACTTCAAAAAAGCTCTTTTCTGAACCTTAAGCTGAATGATCTGTTGATTCCTTTCTTCTTCATGGTAGACAGTTTTGCCTCTTTGCAATATTGTGGGACTATGCTCTTCTGTGAATTCTTAAAGATGCTGTAACAGTCTGAAATACTTTCTGTAGTTCTCCAAGTGTGAATTTAATCAGCTAATTAGATGTCTTCATCAGTATAAGTCCATGTGACATTTCCTAATTTAGGATTTTTTTTTCATTTCCTTGCCCTTTGTGTTGGTTACCTTAACCACAGTACTGCAGCTGAATTAATTTATGGAAGTGATTTTAACTGCAGAAATACTATATTGGAGGCAACCTTAAACCAGACATCCTCACAATTAAATGGTCCCTGAAGAAAGTAGCTGTTCACTAGGCATAACTGAAGGTTATACGTTATCCTTTTTTCCTTTTTAAGAAACAGGATTTTATAATAAACATTAAATTTCCTTTATACTTTTTCCTACAGCCCTTTATCCCCTACCTCTCCTGGCAGTCCAACGAGTCCAGGGTCTCCTTTGTCACCTGGTGCTGTTCCATTTAAACACAACTGCAAAGGCCATCACTTCCATACTGTTGGAGGAGTGGTAGAAAAGGATGTTTGTACTCGTTGTAGCCACAAGCGATGGCACCTTATAAAGCCAGCTCACAAATCTAAAGAGCACAGAAGAAGTCGTCTTGGAGAAGTTACAGTCCTTTCTGTGGGAAGGTAAGACTTAGGTAATTTTATTGTATACTTTTCTTAGGGATGCGCCAGTGGCCCATGTTGGATCAGATATCCATTGATTCTACTCTGTTTATAGCATCAGTGATTGTTTTTTGTAACCCTGTTACTATTAAAGGTTATTTCTGGAAGAAGTAAATGTCTTTTTGTATTAACTATGTAAATAAATGGAGATTTACTGTGTGTACAAAGCCAAAGCTATTGCTCTATTGATACTGGCTAGAAAGAATCAAGGATTGCACACTAACAAATTCCTCTGTTTTTGATATTTCTCAAGTAAGTGTTAGCTATAGAAACTACTTTATTTTGTTGTTTTTAATTCCTAGCTTACATTGTGGTTGTCTTAGAAAATGACTGTTCTAAGAAGTAGTACACAATCTGTGGATTCTGCTTTAAAACACAATTCCCTGGGAAAGTGTGATTCAGCAGTAGTGAGTGTTAAAAGTACATGTAGGTAATAGAAGGGAAGACTGTTCTGAAGTGAAGCTGTGTCCGTGTGGGTGTCTGCTCTGATGTCTAGGTCTTGGGACCTGAAAATGTGTTCCTGTCCATACACTGTGTACTGAGAATGATCTAACTAATCTCTGGGGAAACACAACTGAATCTTTCTTTTGCTTACCTCAGATTTAGAGTTACAAAAGTGGAGCACAAATCGAATTCCAAAGAACGGAAAAGCTTGATGTCTGTTACTGGCGTGGAGAGTGTCAATGGTGACATGCCTGCCACGCCTGTGAAACAGGAGATGCAAGAGAGGAGAAGCTCAGAGTAAACTGCAGGTATCAAACATTTGGAACTAATATTGAAAGTGGTATGTTGTGAAATAAGTGAAGGTTATGCATGAAAATTCATCTTTCAATTTCAAAAGTTTCTACAGAAGTCTGCAAAAATTAACGCAGTTAATGACAAATTGATAAATGCTAAATTACTTACCAAATTCTTAGCTAATTGTTTATTTAGACTTTGTAATTAGAATAGATGTTGAAATAAACTACTTTGTGGAGGTGGTGTCACTGATCCAAGAAATAAAACATCTGCATATTAATTTTTGGCAATAGATGGTGGTCCAGATTTAGTGGCAATGTGCTTATTACCCAAAAGAAACAAACGCTGCTGACAGCTGCATCCCTGGAGTAACTACAGTGCTTCTTCCTTACGCTTGCTGCCCTGTACTGTGTGCTTGTATAAGGTGACTGCTTACTAGATACTTCTCTGATAGATCAGTGGAGCTTTGGCTAATAAGAATGGAGACACATGAAAATGCTCGTATTGCAAGGATCTATGGTAGGTTACTAAGCCAGGAGGTTGGGGTTTTCCTGTGTTGTGAAATAAGTGAAGGTTATGCATGAAAATTCATCTTTCAATTTCAAAAGTTTCTACAGAAGTCTGCAAAAATTAACGCAGTTAATGACAAATTGGTAAATGCTAAATTACTTACCAAATTCTTAGCTAATTGTTTATTTAGACTTTGTAATTAGAATAGATGTTGAAATAAACTACTTTGTGGAGGTGGTGTCACTGATCCAAGAAATAAAACATCTGCATATTAATTTTTGGCAATAGATGGTGGTCCAGATTTAGTGGCAATGTGCTTATTACCCAAAAGAAACAAACGCTGCTGACAGCTGCATCCCTGGAGTAACTACAGTGCTTCTTCCTTACGCTTGCTGCCCTGTACTGTGTGCTTGTATAAGGTGACTGCTTACTAGATACTTCTCTGATAGATCAGTGGAGCTTTGGCTAATAAGAATGGAGACACATGAAAATGCTCGTATTGCAAGGATCTATGGTAGGTTACTAAGCCAGGAGGTTGGGGTTTTCCTGTGAGTCAAACTTCAATGAGTTGCTTGAGGTACCCCATTAAGCATGTCAAAGAAGTGTTTGGCATGGTTTTGGAATGCACCTCTGATGACTATTTTTTTTTTTAACTGTTAAGAATGTCAGGGGAAAAGACAACTGTAAGTTAATATAGTTTGCTTCTAAGTGATGACATGCTGGTTGATAATCTGAAGTGTAAAGGTGATTTTACACAAATGTGATTCAATATACACATGCTGGTTGATAATCTGAAGTGTAAAGGTGATTTTACACAAATGTGATTTTACACAAATGTGATTCAATATACGAAGCTTGACCCTTGGGGAAGAAAGGGGTTCT